GAACAAAGGGTATCAAAGGCAGAGTTGCACATGAGAGGAGAGGAAGATTTTACTGTGAGACTACTTTATACTGTGTGCACAAAGGAGCCAGAGGGAAAAAAAGCAGGGCCCAGAAGACAGGAGCTATTATTCATTAGCCATGAGATCTTCAAAACGGGGGTAGAGAAACTCCTGACTGTGGGGGTTAGCTAAGTATTTTAGTCTTCACACACCTGTGCAAGAGCTGCGTGTCTTATCTCCAGTCCCCAGGCAAGAACACTGAGGCGTCTAGACAGTAAGAAATTGGCCTGAAGAACAAAAGAAAGAGCCAAATTCTATCAGCCCGTGTAACACAGCAAAGTTCATCAGTTACCACTTAGTGTACCACTGTTGGGAGACTGGAAAAGTAGGACAATATTGAAGGGATTAGCCAGCCACGAAAAAGGAAGGAGCTATTTTCAAACCAAGAATCATTCCATCTAGAAGATCACATGAGACAGAGATGAAGAGTCAGGGTGGGGTTCAGTGACCATAAGCTATTGGTCTTTAGAAGGGCACTGGTTTCACAATTGTTGAGAAAACTATTATTCTCTACTGGGTTGCCTTAGAACTTTTGTCAAAAAATCAATTGGCCCATGTCAGGTTATTTCTGAACTCCATTCTGTCTTATAAACCTATTGTTTATCTTGATGCAAATACTGTGCTGTCCTGATGGCTGCTGCTTTGTGATAAGTTTTGAAGTCAAGAATCGCACATCTATGAAGTTCTATTTTCTCTCCCAACATTGCTTTGGACATTCTGGTTCTTTTGTATTTTTATGGACATTTTTTTAGCACCAGATCATCAATTTTTAAGAAAACAAGTTTCTTGCAGAGATTTTGATTGTCTTGAATCTATAAACCAATCAAGAAAGTACTGACTTAATTACATGGAGTCTTCAAGTCCATGAACATGGTACAGCTCTCATTTATGTACGTCTTCTTTAATTTCAGTTTTGTGGACTTGTTGCCCAGTTTTTATATGCCTGATATTTATCCCTAAGTAATATTTTTTAGATGCTACTATAAATGTTATGTTATTCAAGTTTCAATTTCCAGACGTTTACTACTATATGAAAATCTAGGACATTTTTATATTTTGAGTTTAGGTGCCGCAACCATGCAAATTACACATCCATTCTTTCTCCTTTTTTGTAGTTTCATAGTATTTTCCACATAAATGATATCAAATGCAAGCAAAGACAGATTTGAGAGTTTGTGTTCAAGAAGTTCTCGTTAGATAAACTCTTCAGAATACCGAGGTGAAGTAGAAGGACAATCTAATATGGAAATGGATGGATTGTTCAAGTTGTCCTCAGGGTAACAGATGCATTGATCTGGTAGCTTCATAAGGCTAACATCTGTATGGATTGATATTCCATTAGTATTGGATGATAGCTCAGCACAGATCACATGATTATTTCTACTCACCATTGTTAGGAACCTAAGTGAGGCAAAAATACACAGCCTCAGGACAGAAAATGCTCAAAAATTCTTTCTACAAAGCATCACCTCCTCTCCCTCTGACATCCACAAAGCCTGTTCTGGTCTCTGCGAGTCTCAACCTTGCTTCCTCCAGTCCTTCGCCAGTGAGTCAGACTAGGTCAAAATGTAGGTCCTCCACTCAGAATGAAATCTAGACTTCCCCATTGTCCAGCAGTCCTGTGACAGTGTTTGTTTCTACCTGAGCTGGTCCAGTTCATTCCAAGCCTTTGTGCAGCTTTCTCCCACTCACATTTAGCATCTCCTCTCTCTGCTATTGGTTATCAGGCCAATTCTTTTCAGGTCTCCTGAGGCCTTCCTAATGTTCCCACTGACCTGACAATCATTCTCAGAGCACCTAGCCTTTTCCTAACCTTGAACTCACATTTGTCATTTGACATTTACAGTGACATACCACAAGAGCCCGGATCACTGCTAGTTTGTTTACTTCCCCTCTTGCCAGACAAGCAGTGGGCACTTGACCAGTGACTGGGACTATGTTCCATTTTTTCTGTGTTCATATGGAGGTACAGCCACTCCCCAAGCCCAGGCTTTATGAACAATTTTATGATACGTCTTGAGTTTCTCTTCCTTTAAAAGGTTAGTTCAGACCTTTGGTTCCATGTTAAAAATCTCCCCAAGAGTTTCTAGAAAATACTGATGTTTGGTCCACTGCAAACCACTGAAATCCTAGGTTCTGGGGGTAAGGGCCTAGCATTTGCTTGTGGAATTCTCCAGAGAATTCTGATATGCATCAGGAATTGAGACCCACTAACAGAAGAAAGGCAGTTTCCATCCCACCGGGTGTTAGATGGGCTCACATGGAGAGGCCAAGTTGTAGAAGGCTGTCCTCTGAGTGTAACAGCCACCACCACCCTCACCAGAGCAGTTGTGGTCACACACAGGGACCCTCAAGGTCAGGCTTGTTGATGGAGGGACTGAGAAGGGCGGATGCTTCCTTCCCAGGTTTCTGTAATTCTACCCCAGCTGCATACGGTCTCTGGAGGTATTAGAATACACAGAGGGTAGAGAGCTAAATAAAGATGGGACTGAATCTATTCAACCATGGGGAAGTTGTCATTCATGCTAGAGTGAGACTTTGCAGGGACGTGGCTACTTCAGGGTCATCTATGTTCCTATTTAAAAACAAAACAATAAACTCATCAGTTCACCACGTTGGACTTGGATGAACAGGAGAAACACACGTGAGATCTCTCCAGGGCAAGTTCCCATGCAATGGAAAAAAAGAAACCCAGACTAGAATGGAAAGCATTTTCAAACTTTATTTACAACTGTCACAGTGACAAAAAGTAGTTTGGAAAAAAAAAAATGCTAGTTTCTCCCTGAGCCTCAAAACAGAACAGACAGAAGTCACAGGAGGTTCATCTCACAACAGGCAATGTCACTGAAATACTAGGATTTTTTTTCAATACAATCAGTTAGAAATACACACAAATTACAAGAAGAAAAGGAGGAGGAGGAGGAGGGGAGAGGAAGAAGAAGAAGAAGAAGAAGAAGAAGAAGAAGAAGAAGAAGAAGAAGAAGAAGAAGAAGAGAAAGAGGAGGCCCGACAGGAGCTCAGCCCCTTGTCTAAGAGAAGCTGGGTCCCCCCAACAGGCTCAGCTGCTGAGGGGCCTGACATTAACTGTCAGCCCCTGGCCTGCTCAGACTGCACACAGTTGTACAACATGGTCTAGTGACCAGAAAAAGGAAGAAACCACCCCATAAACACACATATACACAAAGCCGATTTGATACTGGATTTACAAGCACGTCTCTATCACACGGCAAGACCAAGACAGATAATTGGGGTAGGGGTGAGAAGACACCAAAACCCAGGAATTTAAAAGGCCAGACACCTGTCCATAAAGGGAGGCGAGGGATGAGAAATGCTGCAGGAGAAGGAGAGTGGGATGAACAGATCTCTGTAGCCAAAACAGAGCAGAGCGGGAGCAAGGGAGAGAAGCTCCCCCATCATGGGGTTGGCTGCAACCCTCTCCCACTTCTGCGAGGAGCCGGAAAAAGTTATTGCCATCGGTGTGTATCACAGGCAGACGACAGAGGGAAGAAGCAGGGGGTAGGGGAGTGACCATCGGCATCCCAGAACCAGACCTTGCCGAATGCCGCGTCAACAGCACACCCCCACGCTCTTGCCCCAACGTGCCCCAGAGCCACACTGACTTTGAGGTATTAAATACAGCTAGACACACTAGTCCAAAGATGGGGGGGGGGGTCAACCTGGACTGGCAGAGACATGAGGGGACATTGTGGGTGCCTCAGTTAGCTGAGCGAAGCCTAAGGAAGGCTTTCAGTCCACCTCTTGACCAAACAGTCCTCTGAAAACTCTGTCCTCCAACCTGCTATTCCAGAAGGTTCTGAGCTATGATCAGAGGCCAAGTCCAGATGTTAATTTCCCCATGCGACTGCTGCCCTTGCCAGAAGCAGGTGAGGTGGGAAAGGGATGAAGGCTACCGTTACCCCAGTGCACCCCATATCTTCCCCCAACCTGCCCTCAGGAGCAACAAGAGGAGCAGAAGTAACCCCACAACAACCACTCCACTGGAGACCTGGTACCACGTGGGAGCCTCAGCACATCCATGCAGCACCATCTAGACTCCGGCATTAAAGCCCACTCGTCAACTAGCCAACCAGGAAACACGCTCTGCTTTTAGCTCCCATGGAAGCCAGGCTGGGAAACCCCACTGGAGTGATGCTGCTGCAGGTCATAGAGGTGACTGTCCACAGCAGAGCTGGGGACCGTCCACCTGACTGCTGTGGCCAAAGGAGAAGGAGAGGCAGACCTGGCGGAGCTAACTCTTCTACCATTCTGCTCCATGGGGACTTGGTAAGAATTCTCGGGAGACCCACAGTGGAAGGAGGCACTTCCATGCTGCAGCCTTGGAACGTCCCACAAAAGCAGGAAGTGCTCTGGCTATTCCCCAATGTATTAGGAGGCAAAAAAAGGGCAAATAGGGAGGAAAAAACTCAAAAGTACTATCCCTTACAACCGTCCAGGTCCCTGGGGGCTCTGAGAGCCCGGCACAGCTGGGGCAGAGTCCGCGGGCAGAACAGGTGGACACTTCCTCTCCTGTGTGGCCCTCCAGCTGGCTTTGCAGGCAGTTTGTCCTGGCCCTACTTCTCTGTGGGTAGCCAACATACGCTTGAAATGAAAGCAAAGGCTGGTGGCGGTGAGCAACAAGACGAGATGAAAACCTTAATTGTCAGGTGCCTCAGCAGCCAAAGCAAATGCTGGTAAGCACTTCCTGGCTGTAGTTCTCTTTAAAAAAAAAAAAAAAAAAGTGGGGTTTGTTTTGTTTTGTTTTTCTTTTTTAACCCAAAAATGTTTCTTGCTCACTTGCTCACCCCGCCCGCCCCACAGCCAGAACCCCCATCACCATACACACACACTGCCTCTGGCACTAGAGTTCAGATAGGGATCTCAGAAGCAGCACCCCTTTCCCACCCCCCCCCACCCCCACCCCTGTTCTCAGCAGCTTCCTTTCTCAGCCTTGCACATTGTCAGAGGGCTCCATTGCTCTCAACGCATTTAAAAAAAAAAAAAGACAAGAAAAGAAAATGGACTTGGTGATTTTTCAGGTGCAAAACGGAAGCCTCAGTTGACATTTTTCAGAATGATTGTGGCTCACTCTCTTCTTCCATCACGATGGGGAAAAACAGTTCAGGTATGCTGGCTGGCACGACCCGGGGCGATCCTGCAGGGACTCTACTGTTCCTTCTTTTCTTTCGCTGTCTCTTCACAGTTGTCCTGCTCATCCTCCTGGACCAGGAATTCCTCGGGGGGCCATCGGAGCTCCCCACTTTCCACCTCCCCTTCTGTGGGCTCCACCACGATGGAGGGCAGGCGGTCCTTCAGTTTGCAGCAACGGTCAAAGTCTGACGGGTCTGGAAAAATCTGAAATGTCAAAGAGCAAAGCAGACATCTGGTCACATACATAGATATCTGAAAAGAGAACTTGGCTTTTTCCTTACACACACACACACACACACACACACACACACACACACACAGAGGGAGAGAGAGAGAGAGAGAGAGAACACTGGCTGTCTTCCAAGGATTGTGTTCTGCCTTCTAGAGACTGTGGGTGTAAGAAAGGAACCAAGAGAGTATGTTCTAGGGAAAGCTATCCCTCAGCCAGATTTTTCTTCTAATTCTGAAGCTCAAAATTTGTGGATCATACCACTGAGCAAAAGGGTGAGGTGTAACTCTGCTTGTACTATTTTACTTCTAGATAAAAGGATGGACAGTCACGTCCTCACAGTATGCCGGGCCCTGCTTTGGCATAAGCACTTTATGCTTACAATCCACATCATACAACAGACACTAAAAACATTATGCTCCTGCCAGAATAATTATGGGTGCCTAGAAGAAATAAACAACCAGGCTCTTCATCATTTCCAACGGACACAGTCAAATGCAAGTGTTGCTCACACTATGTTAAAAACAAATCCCAGACTTGGGCACACTAGTTGTCGAGGCCCCTTTAGCCTGAGATTAACTAAGACTCAAGCTCAGGTGTGCTCACTCCCATGCTCCTGCCTCACCTGCCGCCTGTGGATCTTCTTTCAACTGCCAAGTCAAAGCCAAATCCAGATCAAGGCAAGGCCTCCAGTCACAAGCTAGCTGGGGACAGAATCCGTGGAGCTTTCCTTTTCTTCCACCTGTGAGCAACTCCTGGCTTCCTGCCAGCTGTACACCTGGAGGACTCGAATCTCTTTCCAGAGTCCCAGGGAAGAGGCTCCATAATATTAATGCCCACTGTCTGTCCAGTGCCGACCGAAACACTGAGCCAGGCTATAAAACTAGGAGCCAAGTCTGGCTTCCCTTTGCACATACTGCCTGCCCTGTGACTACAGCTGACCCAATTCTTTGCCCAGTAGCTAAGCCCTTAATCCTCTGGGATGCTGGTCCCTTGCCACTCATCGCCCTCAGTGACACACCCAAGAAGAGAGAGGAACTTTGGCCTGGGAAATCTGGGGCTCACCAGATCACTGACACTTGGCACCTTCAAGGCCATTCCCTCCCACTTCTGTGTCTGACAGACAGGAAACCCAGGCCCTTGAGGGGAAAGGAGGCTTCACTGAAGGTCACACAGTCTGTTCACGACAAACTCCAGTGGATGGAAAGAGACGTTTTTTTTGGAGAACTCCGGGGAGGCTCCCTGCTTTGCTGTACTCAGAGGGTAGGAGATAATCCTTCCCCAGTTCTGTGGTACTCCCAGGGTGTCCGATCTCCCTATCCCCGGGCTGGGCCACAGGCCACGTGGGGCTTCTGAAAAATCACAGACCTCCCAAAGCGTCCGAATCCCTACAGACCGGTGATTATTAACCATTTATCCAATAAAGGCCTATTGCTTGGGATTAAGCCTTAAGCCAGCTGCAGGAGCACGCATCATTAGAGATTTAAAAGGACTCATAAAAAGTATCGTAATAGCAGCCAGAAGGAAAACAAACCAGGGAAGGGCTGGGCCCACACAGGTCACGTAGACCTGGGGAAGCTGACCACCATCATCTCCTGCTATGCCGCCCGTCCACTCCGATGTTTGCCCTTGGACGTCGTGGTGTATTCACATGAACAAGTGTGAGTGGAGAGTGGGTCAGCCAGGCTTGGGGGTGGGGTGGGGGGAGCTTTGCTTACTTCTGTGGAGCTGAGCCCTTCTTGGGGCGGGGAAGACATGGGGAAGCTTCCAAGCATGAGCCCTGGGGTGCGATGCAGGCACTCTCCAGTGAGTGTGGAAAGCACACTTCAGTTTATAAAGCTCTACCAGATGTCTATCACTTCACTGAGACATCACTACCGCCTTAGGGACAGCAAAGAGGCTGGGACTCTGAAGGTCACAAGGCAGAACCAGAGTTCAATTCTCATCCTCAACTAGGATACACCTGGGTCATATTATCACTTTAGTTTCCCAGATGGGTAATTGACCAAGGGGATCAGGACTCAGGTCCCCCCTGTCCTATTGGCTGATGTAGGCTCCAGACCATGGACAAGGATGATTATCAAATAAAGAGCAAGTCCAATAAACAGAAGCCCCAAGTTTTCCCAGCCCATACTCTCATCCTTGTGGACCTGAGATGTAGCTGTGGGAGCTAAAAAGAAGCCTCTGGACCAACCTCCTACCTTTCACAGGGCGTGGAGACATAAGAACCTGATTCTAATGATCACTCAAGCCACAGAATAACAGAAAGGATAAGAGGCAGCCCAGGCCAGCTGATTCTACTCCAAGCTAGAAAGCTGATGCTGATAATGGATGAGGCCATTGATGAGCAGGACCTCCAGCTTCATCATAACTGTATGAAGTAGGTAGTGGTAGATCCCTAAAGTCAGAAAATGAAGACCACATTCCTAGAAATCAGCTGCTCTGGGATTCAGATGTCTACAGGACTTCAATGAAGTATCAGTTTGAGGACACTGGGCTGAGCCACAGCATCTGGATCCTTACTTACTATACCCTTGACATCAGTTCCATGACCTCTGTCAAGTCCTCTCAAGCTCCCACCTCAATTTCTCCTCCAGAGAAATGAAGGGGCCTTCCCATCACACTCGATGGGTCCAAGTTGGCAAACACAGAAGTAATGCAATGTTTTAAGGACAGAAGTAAAATTCAAATCATAATGTCTTCTTTGCAGCGATTCCCACGGGTCTGGAGTTAGTATCTACTCTCCAGGCGTGAAGCAATACTATTAACAATCAATGGCTTTCATACCACAGTCCAGGTCTTCTAAATCCTTGGGAGGCAATCTGAGCATCTGACAGCTGATACTGTGGTAGTTGTCAAAGACTTTTGCACTGTGACTTGCTCAAAGCAGGACCCATTAAAAAGGAAAAAGAAAAAAAAAATTTTTTTCGAGACAGCGTTTCTCTGTGTAGCTTTGGAGCCTGTCCTGGAACTCACTCTGTAGCCCAGGCTGGCTTCGAACTCACAGAGATCCACCTGCCTCTGCCTCCAGAGTGCTGGGATTAAAGGCATGAGCCACCACCACCCAGCTCAGGAAAAATCATTTTTTACAGAGCTTGTATTTGTAAAAATCACTGCAATAAATTACTCTCTAACCCTTTTATCAGAGATTTTATTTTATTATCAGATCACACAAATCTGTGCCTCTGAAAACTATAGCTCTCTCCAAAAATAAACAACAATAACAACAACACACATCCTGTACCAGAACAGCTTCTGTTGTTTCTTCGGGAAAAGACAGAAAAGCCTTGCAAAGTGTTTCTCAGTCTTTTGCCAGCACAATCTTATCTCTGACAGCTGCTTAAGAGGCTGACCCTGGGGAGGTCAGCATTTTTCCACTAAGTCATGGTTTTTAATCATCTAGGCAGCAGAAAAATGAGAGGTTGCACCTACAATTTGATGGGGTGGGGAAGGCAATGGAAAAACAAAGAAGAAGAAGAAGAAGAAGAAGAAGAAGAAGAAGAAGAAGAAGAAGAAGAAGAAGAAGAAGAAGAAGAAGAAGAAGAAGAAGAAGAAGAAGAAGAAAGAAAGAAAGAAAGAAAGAACTCTCGTTTGATTTGCCAAGCACATGACAGGTATGGTTGGGGAGGCAGGCAAACAGCGTGCGCCATGCTGGGCTGCCCGGCAGAATCTGGCAGAGAACAAAAAAAATGCCCCTGTTCCAGAAACAAACTGCTTCTGGTTAAACCTTCAAGTTTTAGTGCCCTGTCTTCTCTCTGGGTTGAAAACAAAAACAACTGGAAACCCCCTCTACAGTAAAGGCTCTTCAGAAAGACATATGGGAGGTTCCCACTCCCATCCCCAGCAGGGCGAGCCTAGAAGCAAGCATCCAGAATCCCCATCCCTTCTTACTCCTGCCATCACTGCCCTCCACAGCCAGCTGTCCCATGGGGACACCCAGGATGACGGCATGGACAGAACTAATGAGCACCAAGTTCCCACCTACACAAAGGGATAGGATCTTGTCAATCACACCCGCACCAAGAACATTTTGAGTCCTACATGAGCAGCATGCTGCGTAGCCCTGGCGACTGTGAATTTCACAGAGGACACCGCTGTAGAGGTACCCTGTGCCAGATGCTCTCTCATCACAATGGGTCCCTGCATCTTGGGAACTTAAGAAGACTCCATTGAAAGGTGAAGGAAGCTTTAGGGGGTGGTCTGCGTAATGTAGATGGCCAGCATACTGGAATTTTCTGGCTGTGAAGGCTAGTGTAGTCCAAGAGAAGTCTCTGCTGTAATGAAAATGTTTTCTATGCTGTCCAGTCCAATGGCCACTAGTCATGGGTGGCTAACTGAACCCCTGAAAGGTGGCCAAATTTTACATGTGACTTAAATAAACACAAATTTCATAAAAATCCAAACAGCTACCATATTCAAGCTACATAATTATAAGGACAATGAAAACAGGGTTTTCAGGGAGACTGGAGCTATTGGATTGGCTGATCAATACTAGTGGCCTCAGAGCTGAGAGCTGTGGGGTTGAGGCCAGGTTTCGAGAGCCCATGAACTCACCAGTAGCCTTTGGCTTGGGCTGAAGAGTTGCTGGTGAGCCAGCTTCCATTTCACGAACAGAGAGGAACTGAAAGATAAAACTCGGCCTCCAAAGGCCCCAAATTTGGAGACCTAGCTATCAGTTGTCTGCCCTTAAGCCAGGTGACCTAAACCTAGCTGCCTCCGGGGTGGGGATAAGAAAGAGTTGCCTGGCACCTACTACGGAAAATGTGAGCAAGTCTAGTCTTTGTGGTCCTTCCCTGTCTGCGCACGGCAGGGCCGTCATCTCGACAAACAAGATGATCTGGCCACAAAGAGGGGGGGAGGGCTCCACAAGGAGCTGGAAGATGCTAATGGGGAAAGCAGACACCAGTAAGTGGGGGAGATGAAAGGTGCTTAGCTGGACACAAAGGGCTAATCACCAGCTGTGCAAGCTGAGACA